GGGAAAAAATAAGAACCAAAAGAGATTATGAAAAGGTGCAAATTTCCAATGATGAATGTCATTATATTGTATACCTAAAATATACCAATAAAATTAAGTAAAAACAAACAAAAGATTTACCATACTTTTTCAATCCCAAGTATGTGCCCAAGGCTCATCCTCAGTAATTCCGTCCTCTGCCTGGGCTGTACCTCTTAACAATAGAAAAAAAAAAATAAAGAGCTATGACTGACAACAGAAGAAAACCACATACATGGAGATAAATGTAATTGTTGTACCATTTTAGTGTTCTGTCTTAGTTTAGAAATTGCCTTTTCTTTCCCTTTCTTTATTAAACCCTTTTTTCAAATATTTTCTTCCATGTTTAAAGGGGGCTTCCAGACAAAGACCTTCTTTGGGGAGTTAAGGGCCTCTCCAGAACAAGTTCCCACCTTATCTTCTCAGTGCTTTGTGTACTTTAGACAAATAAAACAGGTGGGGAACAATGTTTTGAGCCAAAGAACACAGTGCAGTTGGAAATACTTGCCTCATGTAGCCACAGCCATGTTTGTTGTTGTTCTAGGTAACAGACACTGGAGGACTGCAGAATGGCTGTTGGGGTTCCCTGGACACACTCTTCTCACCCTCACCCCGGTCCTACTGAGGTCCTGCACTACCCCTCTGCCCCTGTCTCTGCTTTGCAAACTCCTCTTTGTCTTTAAAACCTCAGGTCCCCTTGGAGACTCTGGTGAGTAGCACATTTTGGGGTGCCCTCCTTGAACTGCAGGCATCTCTGCATATCTGTCTTCTTGGCCAGGTTGTGAGTATCTGAGAACAAAAGCCCAAGTATTTCACAACCAGAGCCTCAGAGCCAAGTTCAAGGTGAAGTTGGCAGGCCGTGGTTACTCAAATGTTTGTTGAACTCATATTGAATAAATGTGAAGATCTCTCCTTAGTCTGCACTGATCAACACTTGCGATCACTGTTTCAGACAATACTATCCTAAGTAGATAAATTAAGCAATATGAAAACATGAGTAAGACTTTTTGTATACACACAAAGTACATTGAATGCAATTGTTTTAAATACGAGATAAGCATTTGGGTTGATGTATAGTAGTTCTGTAGAACAAGCTAGAAGTGTGGACTTCACAGTGCTCAGGACTGGGACCCTTACCATGTGGAGTTCGAATCCTAGGTTTTTAACAATGAACCTCTCTTACTTCAATTCCATTGTTTGTAAAATGAGTAAAACAGTCCCTCCCAGTTAATTTTTTATAATCAGAATATGTCAGCAAAACTCTGAACACATTAAGCAATAAGTGAATGGTTCTGTCATTAGTAGTGTTTCTGAGGCTCGATGTACTGCAGCACTGTGTGATGTTTCTCTGAGGCCTGTTTGCACACCGGTTTCCCCTGTGTACATCTTGTTGGCAGGTGCCAGGATCTGACTTCAGCCGCGTTGACACCAAGAATCACAAGGTCGTTTAAAGTGACAATGTTGTTGATATTTTCAAACCCAGGCCTTTTCACCCATTTCTTTTTCTGCCTTCTTCCTGCTGCAAAACTTTCCTCACAAAACTTGAAGTTGAGTTTGGGAGAGTAAATAGGTTGACTGCATATTTATATCTAAACTCTGTCCCAGATGTTAGGTTAGTCTTCTAGTCTTGGGTCCTAGGGATAGAACTGAGGACAGAAGCTTAGGTGGATCTAAGGTATAGCATTTAGTGGAGAAATTGATACAAATATCTAGATAAATAATTGAATCAGGATGTTGATTCAAAGGCATTGGACCAAGGTCCAGAATTTTTTTTTTTTTTTTTTTAGTACTGGGAATCAAACCCAGGACCTGGCACTTGCCAGGCAGATGGGGCACCACTGAGCTACATCCTCATCTCTAGGTGAAGAATTTTGAGCTGTGGTTATATAACTAGAAAACTAGAGAGAAATAGAGTTTGGAAATAAGGTTCAAGAAGGTCAGAATAGTGTGTCTGAACAACTCCCGAATCTGTGGAACATAATCACAGAGTAGCAAATTTAAGCTCAGCCTGGACAACTTTGTGACTTAGTGAGACCCTGTTTCAAAATATAAAATTTCAAAAAGGGTTGATGTGTTGGATGCAGCTCAGTGCAAAGGCTCTGGATTCAACCCTCAGTACCAGAAAAACAAAACAAAACAAACAATCAAGTTGCTAAACCCCACAGAGATATGGTGGCCTGTAAACAGTGGTTCAGATTTCACAGCCTGCAGCCATCTTTCTCTATCCAGGCTTGTTTTAAAGAGATAGGATAGAATTAGGTAAAAGCAAAAAATTTAAAAAACAATGACAGGAGTAGTCCCGTGAAGCTGAGCTGCCACTTAGCCAGGTAGGTGCTAGCTTTCAGAGTGGATGGGGTGCGGGTCTGATGCGGGCCTGGCCCTGCTGCCGGTGGTTTCTGACCCCATCTCTGGCTCTGGTCTGGGATGGCACAAGGGCGGACGTGGGGTTCCAGGGAACATGACCCCAGCATGGGCCTGTTTCCCTTGTTTTCTAGGAACAGATGTCTCCTTTCCTGATGCAGGAAATGAGCAGAGTTGGCTCAGCGGTACCTTTCCTTCTCGAGATGGCCAGAGTGCACAGCTGCAGTGCACGATGGTGAGCCAGGGAGGACTAGTGCAGCACAGCGTAGCTCTGCTCCTTTCTCTTGCATCTCCATCTCCTGGTTCCCTTTCTCCCTGTTTCCTTTTCCCTTATTCTCCATGTCTTTGTGTCACTCCTCCTTTCTAATCGGCACAGAGCCCTTGTCCATGGGGTGGAGCACTTTGGACAGACAGCACTTACATAGGATAACATTGTGTGGATCATACTGTAAATTCTATTGCTATTGTTTTTATTGAAGAGTGTTTAGTTCCTTTCTTGGGAATAACCTGCATCCACCTGAGGACATGTGGAGGTGCTTGATTCTGGATTTGCACAGAGCTGAGCCAGATGCAGACTGGCAAAGGCATAACAGAGTGCACTGTGCCCGCGAGTGCTGAGAGTGGCATGGGACAAATGTCTGCTGCTTTTTCATTAGCAATTCTTTGTTAGATATTATACATATCAGTGACTAAATATAGACAGAGGAAAGGGCTATTGATAAGTAAGAGATTATACTAAATGTATGCTTACATAGCCAGAGTCGCTTTCCAGGTGACTCATAGGGGCTTTATACAAAGGATCTCACATGTGAGAAACAATAACATGAGAATAGGTAAAGATCAAAATTCAGCATAGTCCTTTTAACTTATTCTTTTTCATAGAGTCCTATAGAAGGCATGAGAATGAATGAAGAAAAATTGCTTTTCTTTTTTTTGAGACAGGGTTTCACTATGTAGCCCAGGCTGGCCTTGAATTCATGACAATCCTCCTGCCTCAGCCTCCCAAGTACTGGGATTACAAATGTGCATTACCACAGGAGGCAGGAAAAATGTTTTTAAAATATGCTCTCCTCACCTTTTCCTTAAACAAGTTGTTTTGGCTACTGTTGCCATTTTTTCCCAATTTCATATATTTAAGTACTAAATGTCAGCTTTTTGTTGTCTTTCTGGCATGAGATAACTATTCTAAATCAACAATCTGTTTTCTTGTTTGTTTTTTTTAATTAAATTCTTTTATTGGTACATTGTAGGTATACAACACAATTACATTTCTCATTGGGAATTGTACCTTTACATAATGCATCTTGGTTC